GGGTTTTGGCCCATCATCAAAGATAAGCTGTCCATAGGTAGATAGATTTACTTCTGGGTTCTCAATTCTGTTCCATTGGTCTGTGTGTCTGCCATTTTACCAATACCAGGCTGTTTTGACTACTGTGGCTGTATAGTAGGTTTTGAGATCTGGGAGTGTGAGGCCACCTACTTTATTCTTTAGTATTGTTTTGCATAACCAGGTTCTCTTTCCATATTCCATCTCTTTATAGAATGATGATGGAATCTGGATTGGGATTGCATTTTATCTGTAGCTTGCTTTGGGCAGTAGTGTCATTTTTACAATGCTAAGTTTTCCTATCCATGAGCATGGTATATTCTTCCATTTATGAGGTCCTTTTGGTTTCTTGTAGCAGTGTTTTGTAGTTTTATCTGTATGGGTCTTTTGTGTCTCTGTAGATTTATTCGTAAGTACTTCATCTTTTGGGTGTACTGCTTATTGTTTTGATATTAATAAAACTAATTAATGAAACCTTTTTTAGAGCCATTTTTTTTTTTTTTTTTATCCCTTAGAGTCTACAAGGTCAGAAAGGGCAGATCAAAATGCCTTTAAGTTCTGTCTCTCCTAACTAAAATGCAATTGCATTGTTTATGAAAGGATGGTTGTTCCAAACTCCCTGGGTGTACATAGAAGAAACTGTGAGATTGAGAGGTGGTAGTATGGTAGATTTGTCTCTTGACTTCATTGTTGATTAGCTAGGTGACTTGGGGTAAGGCATTTTAATTCTCATGGCCTTCCTCATACAGATATTGTGAGGATGAAATGAATACATGAAAAGCACTTAGAAGACTGCCTGAAACCTAACCCACTGCCATTGAGCCAATTCGGACTCATAATGACCCCACAGGGCAGAGTACAACTGGCCCATAGAGTTTCCAAGGCTGTAAATCTTTACCAAAGCAGACTCTCTCATTTTTCTTCCATGGAGTGGCTAGTGGGTTCCAACTGCTGATCTTTAGGTTAGCAGCCAAATGCTGTAACCACTGTGCCACCACAGCAACATTCAATAAAAGATGTTAATTGTTAATGGATGTTTAAATATGCCATGCATCATTTCTTTGGTTATTGTAATAGTATACAGTTGTGTAACAGGCCAAAGAACCTTGAGCACTTTATCTCACATCTTTGAAGTGAATGTGGTAGAAGCGTGTTGTTATTGTTCTTAGGTGCCATTGAGTCAGTCCTGACTCACAGCAACCCTATGTACAACAGAATGAAATACTGCCCAGTCCTGTACCATGTTGACAATTGTTGCTATGCTTGAGACCATTGTGCAGCCACGTGTCAATCTATGTCATTGAAGGTCTTCCCCTTTTTCCGCTGATCCTCTACCAAGCATGGTATTTTTCTCCAGGGACTGTGTCTTCTGCTAACATGACCCAGGAACATAGGTCTGGCTACTTTACAAGTGAGACTTAAATGCTTTGTTCAGGGCAATTATGGCGGAGTGGCAGCTAAATTTTCTGATTCAGGTGTCTGTGTATCCTAATACACAGTATTCAGTTTTTAATTTGGTTAGTTGTTTTTCAGGTCCACAAAATTGGTGGTATATTTGAAGACTTCGTGAGTACTAAGCAATGTGTGACCTGCTTTATCGCAGAGCAGCAGATGTCCTGTGGTATGGAAATGAGGCGGGTGTGGGAGCCATTGAATGAGTGTGCAGGCTGTAACCACTTCTGCATTTCCACTAATACACCAGGGAAATGTTCAATGCTATGCATCAGGATTTAGTTGTTCTAAATATATATTTTTTAAAAAAGTGTTTTGACTTCCTGGAGCTGTGACATTGGATGAATCCCTGAAACTACTGCTTTGAGATCACCTTTAAACTTTAAACCACGAATATCCCTGGAAGTCTTCTTTAAAACCAAATGGTAGTTTCGCCTACCTAGTAAATCTGCCATGAGCATTATGCTCTTTTAAGAACTATCTGTATCGGAACAAAGTGACAAGAGCAACTGGAAAGATTAGACAGAACCTTAGGGAGCAGTGAATTTATGTTAACAGGGAAGGAACGACTCAGAAAAGGAGGGTGAGGATGGTTGCTCAATTTGAAGAATGTGATCAATGTCACTAAATTGCACACGTAGCAACTGTTGAACTGGTGTTATATTCTACTATGTATATTCTCAACAACAAAATAAAGTTTTTAGAAAGTGTTTTCCTATAATACTGCACTTCATCCTCATAACTCTGGAAGTGAAGGTGTGATCACCATATTACAGTTAAGAAACTGAATTGCCAAGAGGTTAAGGTCTTGCCACACACACAGCTGAAAAACCAGCAGAGCCAGAAGCCTAATAGTATGAAATTTCACTCAGTGAAAAGTGTGCTAAGTTCTTCACTGTTTCTATCCAAACACACCTGCTCTTGAAGATACTGGGGCACATCTTTACAGGTCTGTGGGGTTGGTTAAATCCTCTTGTCAACTTTTTTTTTTTTTGGAAAGACAAGCCATTTGTGGAACACATTTTAAAATGAAAAATAAACTTCAAATTATTTAAGCACATTTTTAAAACATTTAAATCTGCAAATTGCTGGTACTGAGCAAGAGATAAAAGTATAGATTGGGGCCTGCTATATAAAAAAGGTTTCATACTTTTGTTTGTTTTTGAGAGAAAGGAAGAAGAACCATGGTAGTAGGGTGTTTGTTAAGTTGAAGAGAGACAGACTGGCTGTATGTGAAAGATAGCTGAGTCCTGGGAACTGGAAACACGCATGGAGCAGATGCACCTGTCCACTAGGCTGGGAGCTGAGCAGGGGCTTGGGCTGATGGTGCCAACAAGGGAGCCAAGAACCAAGGGCATTCCGTACACCAGGTCTGCTGACAAACACTGGTCATTTTCCTGTTGATCCAGTGAGGAACTGAAAATCAAACAAAAACTCCAATCCATTAGGCAGAAGAGGAGCAGTGGAATATTGTTAAGGTTTAGAGGAAGCCCATCTTTCTAAAAAAATATCTACTACAGCAATCAGAATAAAATTTGGGACACTTTTAACATTCTCAAAAGGATACAAGAAAACCTGGTTTCTATGAAAAGAAAGAATATAAAAGAGTAATGAGAGAAGGGAGGTAGGTGAGGTAAGTTCAAGATGATTAGAAGTGCACCAGTAATACCCCCATTAGAAACAGAAAAAAGCAGAGTGGCACTGAAAGTTGGCCAGCGATTTGGGGATTAAATTTGAGAAGTGTTTCTAGTGTGAAGAAAGGGAAAGAGATGATAAAGGGAGAAATACTGAGAAAAGATTAAAGTATTTTTGAGGAAAAATATGTTCTCAAATCAGAAAAAAAAAATCTGAGTATATTGGATCACTTCTGTTTCAGACAAAAGTCACTGAAGAGACGTGTGTCTAGAGTGTGGCAATTTCCCCCCTTAGAGACAGATAAAAAGCATACATGCATCCTGGTCGAAAACTGACCTACAAGGGAGCACAAATTAGGCTGGCCTCAGATGGTAGAAGACAAAACAGCTAACAATAGGCTTTTCAATGAAAGTGTGACAGGAACCATGTGCCCGTCAAGGTGACTCTCATGCACAAAGGCAAGAGAAGAAATCAGAAGAGGACAGTCACATAGAGCCAAGCTTCAGCCCAGGTTGCACAATTCAGTTCTAATTCATGAGTTTGTTTTCAAAATGAGTTAAGGAAAGATCATTCTTTCTACCATGACCTCCTAATTCTAAAGTTCTTGATTTTATTTTAATTTTTATTGTGATTTGTAAAGTTCTTGATTTTAATACAATTCTTTAGTTGGAATGTTTTGGGTTTTTTAAAAAGGGCATGTCAGTGTGTATTTTCTGAGGCCTCTCCTATCTGAGCACTCACCCTGTTTGCCCCTCTGCCCCCCTCCCATACGTATCCATGCCCATAGGCTGCTCTCTCTACTTGTGCACTGCCAGTGCTTGACACACACTGGAGGCCAAGAAGCACCAGTGACTGCACTCTTATTAAACAGGAGCAGCCCTGTCCTGTCCTCACTCCTTCATCTGTTATCCTCATGAAATTTAGAGGACTCTTACACAAGAAAATAATGTCGATAAAAATTACAGGTTGAAAATCTGATTTTATTTCAAAATGATAAATAAACTGAGGCAGAGTTCTGACCATGTACTACTTCAAAAGGGCTTGTGAAGTTAAAGAAACAGTTCCACGAGGACTCCAGTCAGACCCGAAATGACACCAGCCAAACCTGCGACTGGCAGATAGCCTCTTTAATCTTCAGGGAGTTTAAAAAGTTCTCCACCCTGATTTCTGAATCCATAAAAAGTAAAAAGCACTTTTATTTTGTCATTTTTCCTTTGAAAATGCTTTTAGTGGCAAATAGGACCACTTTATCTCATGTTGATGAGCATAGTAGTTATGCGTCAACATACTTAAAATTAGAGAGGGAAAAAACCCACAAACCCTCAGGGGCACTGCTAATCTGGTGAAGGCTCACATAAATATGTACTCATGTTCATGTTTTCACTTTCTCTACAAATAACAATAAAATGTTTGTAAATACAGCAGTAGCAGTTCACACATATTTGATACACTTCCACACAAGGATTCAGTAAACAACAATAAATAGAATTTCCCCTCTTCAAAACAAAAAAAGGGATTTATAGGAAAAAGAAGGTTAATTTACTTGGAGTTCATCAGCACACCATTTTAGTGTACTCTCAAAGAATTAAAAAACCATTTAAATTGTATTCATTGAATACTGGCCCATAGTTACATTTTTTTTTTTTAAACCTAGCTTAAATACATACATCATGGCTTTCTATTAAAATTCTTAAATCTATGGGAATCTGTGGTAAATAAGAATCTATTAAAATTTTTTTTCCTCATTAACAATTTCATTAAATTAAAAAAAATCTGACATTTCCCTTAAATGGTAAGTTGAAGCCTGATCTATGCTGCTGTGTCCTGTGAAGTAAACCTAATTTTCAGAGTGAATATGAACGCCTGAATGGCAGAGTGCTTCATTTTTCATTCCCTCATGATTCCTGTTGGGTCCTCTTCGGTGAGGCTTTTCCCTGAGTCATATATTTACTGGAAAGGCTACCTAGAGGAGGGGGGAGAAACAAAACCCAACATAAATAAAACAAGCCTCGCTTTATCTCAAAAGCTACAACATTACTTCTTACTGTTAACTATTCATAGAAACTTTTTTTCACAGTGGAAATGGTCACTTGTTTTGAATCAAATAATTAGGCTAGATAGAAAAGTTATATATAGAACATGACTTACTACACACAAGCTCAGTCAAAATTCTTTTAAAATGCAGACAAGTTGCTAGAGTGGTATTGTTTTAATACAACTTCATGTTCACTATTTCCATGTTTGGATTGGCAGCAACAAGGGGTTTAGACATAACAATGACTGTGAGGATGGCAGTGGACCAGGTAACATTTTGTCCTGTTATACACAGGTCCCTATGAGTCGCGGCCAACTCGAGGGCACCTAACAATTTCCCTGTTGGTGCAGAGGGCCAGGTGAACCTAGTTTTTCAAAAGTTCTGCTTTGCATTGATCAGTGTCTTCATTTGCAACAAGAGAATAGAGTACAAAGAACTCTTTGGCCAGAAGAAATAAATATTTCCAATCATTACTCTGCAGATGTGGTGGGTGGTGAAACTGTAGTAATAACTCATTGATATCAAGAGAAAAAAAAGAAATTTATTACATTTACAAGTGAAGGATATGAATGAGAGTTGCTAATCAGAAACACACCACAGAACAATAAGTAATTCTTAGTTATGAACAAAGTGATCAATGAAACAGAAGAGAGCTGAGAAACTCTGAAGCAATTATAAGAAAATGCTATATTATAAAGATGGTATTTCAAATCAATGGAATAAAGTATGAGTTATTTATTAACTAGCATGTCAAATAACAAATTTTTTTGGGGGTATGATGTTTCTTTTCTCACACCATATTCTTCCTCTACATGCAATTACAAATGAATTAAAGATTTAAATGCAAATGAAACCACCAAAGTACAAGTAGTAGTGAATCTTGGGGTCAGGAAGAGTTTCATAAGCCCATCAGAATAAGCTTTATTTATAAGATATGACATGCTCAGTATGAAAAGAACTTATAAATCAATGGAGAAAAAGACAACAACAGACACCTGGGTAAAGAAAAGAAATACATGACAGAGAAAAAAAAATGGCACACGAGTACAAGAATAAATGTTCAACCTCAATGGGTTACCAAAGAAATGTAAATTTAAACAAGATAATGATTTCTGAGTATTAAATTTTTAGAAGAAAGATCAGGACAGGGAGGGGATTAGACATTTTGCTAAATGAATATTAAAAAAAAAAACTTACTAAAAATAATTTAAATTTAAATATGCAAACAAATGAAATGTCCATACTTTTTTTATGACTAAGTATATTATGGACCATGCAAACAATGAAATACTAGGCAAGCATAGAGGAATTAGTAACATAAAAAGTAAGTTACAGAAATACATGTCTAAGATTTCCATAAAAACCCATAATTAAAAATACAAAAAATATTCTACCAATCATATATTTGGTGCCTTCAATTTCTTACTCATTAAAATGAGGGCAATAATTATACCTACTCCCTTGGAGTTACTGTGAAGATTAAATGAATTAATATACGTGAAGCAACTGCAATAGTACCTGACATATATAAAGCACTCAATAAATGTTAACTATTATTGTCACATAGATATAAACAGTCAGGAAGACTTTACCTCGAAGACATAAATAGTGGTTAATGCTAGAATAGAGGGTTATATGAATGGTTTTTATTTTATTCATTTTGTTTAATTATACCTTCTAAATTTTCTAAAGCACATGTAGTAAGCATGTAAGTAAAAACGTATCAAAAACAAAACAAACAACTTCTCAAAGCCAAGCATCTTAACCATCAACTTAACAGTGAAAAGTGAGTAATGTCAATCAGGAGGAAACAGAACATTCTTTTGTAGTATTTATTATACCAGAGAGCATCTGTTGGTCTACAGGCACACATCTTTGATACTCTGAACTGCACAAAGTATGGAGAACAGACTTTGGGGGAAAAAAAAGGATTAGATGCCCACCTCATACTCTACACAAACATAAATCCTAGATGGATTAAAGATTAAAACAGGAAAACAAATCTTTAAAACTATTAAAAGAAATACAGATGGATATATTACGACTTCATGTCAGAGGAGGATTTCTTAAAGAACCCAAAATCATCAACCACATGATCATAAAAACTAATCATGAAAAGCCAATACATTGATTGTCTCAAAATTAAAAACTTGAAACAAAAACTGAAAGACTAGAAATACTGGAAGAAGATATCTGGAATGTATTTAATAATAAAGTAGTAGTATTCAGAATAAATGAGAAATGCTTACAAATTAATATGCAAAAGATAATGCAATGGAAAAATGAACTGATAATTTTAGCAGACAAACCAAAGGAGAGGAATGTCAAATGGCCAATAAATGTGATAAGGTGCTCAACATCACTATAGTATAGAAAATCCACATCAGGACACCACCAAAGTATTTTTACCCATCAGATTTGTAAAAAATTAAAAGTGTGACAAAATCAAGTATTTGCAAGAATGTGTGGAACATAAACCCACATGCTACACTGGTGGAAGCAGTAACTGTTTCAGTCACTAAGGGGGTGATTTGACAGGACCTAAGTGCTAACCAGAAGGCTGCGAGTTCCAACCCACTAGCCACTCCTTGGAAGGAAGACTGGGCAATCTACGTACGTAATGATACTGCCTTGGAAACCCAAGGAGGGGTTGCTATGAGTCAGATCCGACTCGGTGGCAGTGGGTTTAAGTGAACTGAAAATGCACATATGCTATGATCTAACAATGTGACATCCAGGTACGCAAACCGTATGGAATCTCTCTCACATGCTCAAGGCGACCCTCATAAGGAGGTTTACTGTAACACTGTTTGTAATAGCAAAAAATCAGACATGACCTAAAGATTCATGTACTGGATAACGGATGAGTAACACATTCTGTATTCATGCGGTAGAACATTGTGAAAGAAAAAACTAAATCGATATACAGCAATATATAAATTTTACGAACATTTTGTTAAATACACATGAAAAAATACCTTGTGGACATTCTTATTATACAGTATGAGATGTCATTTAAATGAAAAAATTCACCAAGGATACATAGTAAGGGATATATAGGTAAGAGTTAAGAGTTCGAAAGAGGAACTAGAAGGTACTTAAATTGCCACTGGGGCAGAGGGGTACATGACAGAGGGGAATGGGTCCGGGGATGGCATTCAAAGGGGATTTCCGACACCTTAGTGATCTTTTTTTTTTTAATTTAAATGCCAATTCCTAGTAGAAGATTTGTATCTTTTTATATTTTCCAAACTAATGACAATACTAAGAAACCACTCTTTTCTATTAATATATTCATGTACTTAAGCATATAATTGTTGTTATTTGCCATCGAGTTGGACCCGACTCATAGTGACCCCTCCTTGGGTTTCTGAGGTGGTATCACTACAGAAGTAGATTGCTCAACCTTCCTTCTGAGGAATGGCTGGTGGGTTTGAACCGCCAGCCTTCTGGTTAGCAGTCAAGTGCCTTAGGCACTACGCTACCAGAGCTCCTAATGTGTAATTATCTATATTAAAAAAAAACTCATTATATTTGAAACTTTGTATATATTATTTGCATATAAAAAATAAAATATGGATTAAAAAAATAAAGTATGAATGGACTTTTATATAATCCAGGGAAAAACATAAAATTTGTAAGCATGACTCAAAACCTACCCAAAATTTGCTACATCAAACAAACATCTTGATGGAAAAACACATCATAAATGAGGTTGAAAGTATTATAAATGGAGTGGTGGTGAAGGATGCCGTATAGTATTTGACCAAGAGCTCCTAAAAAGCAAAGATGAACACACTACTACAAAAACTGGGCCCAAGACAAACAAAAAATACAAATGAAAGTAAGAGAAAAATGTTAAGAGTTCAATGGTAATCACCCAAATGCAAACAGGTTGGCAAAACAAATCCTCCAGTGACAGTGAAGGCATTGGCAACAGGTTGTCATTGACTCTGGGATTTCCAACGATCATAACCTTTTCGCATTACTGGCATCACTGTCAAAATGTGCACATTTTTAAACCTAAAAAATGTTAAAATTCTCTTAACTGGGAATTTATCCTTGGGAAATAAGTAGAAAAATATGAAAATACTCATTCTATTCTTTTAAATATACAGTAGTCATGAAACTAGGGTCCATGTATATCCATGGGCCTCTCTGGGCAAGGAGAGATCCATTTCCAGCTCAACTTCTGTGAAACCTAACAGGCCCTACAACACACCTTTATGGTCAAGGTTTTAGACTAGTTCTCAAATATTTGAGGTTGTTAAATCTCAAATATTTGAAAATCATACTAGTATTCCTTTCCAATTCCCCTCTTTCATAATTATTCTTCTCCTTTATAGAAGAACAGCGTGTCTCCTACCATCCAAATCTTTCTGTGGTGTTGACACCTCGGGTGAGAAAAGCCTGGAGGCAGAGAGGCAAACACAGTGCTGCCAAATATGGTCCACGTGGATGTGTCTAATAAAAGTCCACACTCTGCGCTGTCATAAAATCCCACTGAAAGCTGATGATCATTACAAATAATTTTTGATGAAACATCACTATGTGATTTTTGGTCATGTTATTCAAAAAGAATTAAAGTAATCAGCACTACTGTAATACATCTTCCATTCCCAAACTGTTAAAACAAGTTACTTCTATTATGTTGAACTTAATATTATAAACCACAGAAGTTTCTCAGTGCTTAACAACTATGAACACAAAAAGGTAAAGAATAGAAATCTTACAGAGCATTATTTCAATCATGCAGTAAGTAACAAGAATCCAAAGACATGTGAATGTATGGGGGAAAAATTCCATTTATCTCATTAAATGTGTCCTTTTTAGTAGGTAAACACAAACATTTTTATAAAAATTTATAATGTATTTGCTTTGATCAATGATATATTCCAGTAATTGTAAACATTCAATTTATAAGAAAC